CTCTCGAAAACACTTGTGTAAAACGTCTTTATTTCGTTTACTTTTTGGATAAGTCCAAGCGTTCGTTAGATAAATATCAAGTGATAAGAAAAAGTGTCAAACGATGTGGAAGAGAACGAGCGACAGCTAAGTCATTTCGATGGAATGAGCCATTTTAACGTATTGTTTGACTTAGATTGTTTCGAAATGTTGTCAAACATAGTGGAAATAATGGTTTTAATTGTCAACTAACAAGTGCTGTGAAATGAAGTATGAAACAACAGCACGCTGGCTCACTTTTCGTTCCACTTCAAGTTCGAACACTTAACACGTAATTTTGCTTTGTTGCTTGCATTGGATATGGTTGTCAAGCGTATGCGCGCGCTCGATGCCGGCGATGATTATTATTCATCATTTCAAATCGACAAACATGAAATGATTATGAAACGGAAAATGGCAAAACGGGTCACATAAAGAAAGCCTCCGCTAAAATGAAACAAGAACAAACACAAACATAAACCGAGAGATAATAGTATGCATGCAAACGGACCGGGGCACAGTAGAAACGCTTCGATGATGTCGATTTACTTGATCGAAGAAATAGATCAAGCGTAAATCGAGTGGCCGTTTTGTGGCGCATAGTTAATGTGATTGGCGCATTTAATTTATGGTAACACGTAATCCAAGCAGACACTTGAAATGAGTCGCATCATTTCACATGAAGCAGCTGTCACTGACATGAAATGTTGCACCGTGATTCTCTCTCTACATTTTGCACATTGGCAATTTTTTGTTTGCGTGCTGCAAATATGCCCGAGCGTTTCGATTAGCGGTTGTTCTGTATCTTTAGGGTAAAAACGGATCTTTTTTGTATTTTGAAATGTTAATTCGATCGAATGAGTGATATATACCAATTGAACGAATGTGAATTGAGAAAAACTAGAAATGATGAATTTCACGTCTTGCATGGAAATGTGACACAAACCACGTCAGAATTGAGCAAAATGTGTGCAAAAAGTTTGTAAACAATCGAGATTTAGCTGAAAAATATCTTCATAAATGTCATTAAAGTGCTCAATTGAACACGAGACAAATGAATTTTTAATGCAAAAAAAATGAACAAAATCTCGACTTGATAATGAGTTCCATAATCTCAATTCAATCAACGCATCTATATTTCGAATCGAGTTAAAAACAAAAATATTTCGTTCTAAACCATGGAAATTTGTATAAATTTGTAACATTTGCAATGTAAATGTGCCGTATTTGTTGTTTCGCAGTTATTGTTCATTGATTACTTTACATTTTTCATGCTGTAAATTATTGTTGTTGGGTGCATTCTTTAGCAACCAGTGCTTAACAATCAGTAATTTATCATTTATTTAACCGAACAGCTTGCGAACCTACTGAAAAAAAAAACGGAAGACGATAATATTGAGTAGTTAGAATAGTATCGGGTATTTAGCATCAGATTAAAAAATGCGATGCAGAGACAGTAGTAGGCAATAGCCGTACATATCACATATACGTATTGTGATCATCGCACCCTAACGATCTGTTCATATAGCAACAAAAGATTTGCCAAGAACAACTTGGCTACATTACATCCGTGATCATAATAGGCGAGTGTGTTTAAGTAGAACACGCAGTGGTTCGTGTGCTAAAGGCGGAAATTATGTTGAGAAAGAAGCGGCGCATCGAGTGAATAAAATATATGTATGACCAATCACCGTTCTAGGAATCGTTCAATCACTTGAATCACTTCGGAACAATGAACCTTAGCCGCGTGTGCATATTCTTGCGAAATCTCATTCAAATTCAAATTTGAAAATCAAATGCGAGCATTCTGAATAATTTTCTTTCGCTAAAAATGTTTCGTTCGGTATTTCTTTCAAACTAAATAGAAAGAAAAGCTATGATTTGTGCAAATTGGTGTGTGTGCAAAAATGCCGATGAACAATACGAATTTGCTACTTGAATTCGACTAATAAGCAGATTTAATGATAGTATTCGCGTATTCACGCATCCATAAGATTGCAATTATGCGCATAATGTTCGCATCGCATACACACACACAAAAACGTAGTGGTTATGGCTCGACACTGAATTGTTAGATTAGAACATTGTATTGACGTTTCAAAATGTCTTGCATTGAGCCGCGATGCGATCAAATCATATACATTTTTTTTCTGCATCATGCTTCACTGAAAAACATGAATAAATACAGACAAACACACACAAAACCCATATGTTGAAAGTAAGAATTAAGAAGAACGCGCGCGCAAAACACATTGACGGCAAACTGGGGAGTAATTAAAGCCGTCGATGAACACAAGCGCAACTGGAAAATCATTGATTCTCACGGAATGTGCATCATTCAAGCGAAACCTACACCGATTATCCAACTAAAGTGTTGTATGCTCACGAGAGAGAGAAAGAGACGCAAAGGCGAAGAGACACATGAAGATAAAATGGAAGCTCAAGCGACGGCTGATTATCAGGTGACAACAGATGCAAAGGGTCACACCGAACCGCAATTTTCTATTCATAAATCCAAACAGCGACTTTTAATTTCCATTTCCATTGCACAGCTAGATAACACACCGAGAGAGAAAAAAAGCTATGCAGCTTCCTTTTTTTTCTATACACTGCATTCGTGCTGTATAAGTCGAATGCATTTCAGATGACAATATATGTTCAAATGAATTGAAATGAATTTGTGCTTGTTCAATTTTGAATTGTTGGCATCAAGAGAGAGAATCCGCACCCGATTGCTCGCTCGCTCCCGCACGCTTCGCCAACATGAGAACAATGAACTCGACACACGAACAGATTCGTTTTCTTTTTTGTTTGGCCGTAGTTCCTCTGTGCTCTCGCGCGCGATCACTATATATGTTGTGTCACCATAAATAATGGCAGTTTCAATTGAGGCACGTAATGTATTACACCGTATTTAAAATGTGTATTCTTTGTTTGTGCCACGAAAATATATTTGTACAAATGTTTGGATTTTCACATTTTTGTGTTACTGATGTTGCTGGTGATGCTGGTGATGTGGTTGTTGTTGCTGCTTATTTTAATCCAAATCGAGAGAGAAAAAAATGTATATATGCTTTATTGTGTGTAGATTCATCGTTGACTACACTTTACATATGGAATGTGCGATGTGTGTGACTCGCGCAAACTGATCACACCGAATTCTCGGTGCAATTGTACCGGGGCGTGTGAGTGTGCACAAGTTGTCGTTGTCGCGCGGCCAGTGCCAAACGATGATTGTAAGATAATTGCTACGCTAAATCCAGGTAGGCTCTTTTGGGGCCCAACTGACAACACCAACAAAACCAAACAAACACCAACCATTTTTGGTCAGCGCGAATACTAGCGCAATTTGTATGGAATAATTCGCAGTTGACTTTGCAATCCAATGTAGTAATTGAAAGTGCCGATGCCAGTATTTGTAAGAATTTTTTCTCTTTATGATTTCCATGCACTGCTTTGTGCATTCACCATAAAGTGGTAAACCAGAATTGTTTAATTTGTTTTTTTCTTCTTCTTTAAGTTCATGTCTGTTTTTCGTTTGCCTGGGCTGTATTTTTTTTTTTCGTATGTTTTGTTTGTTTTTCCTCATTTTCGTTTTCATGCATAAGAAATTGGAGTTCTTGGAAAATGTATAAATATACAAGAAAAGGCGCGCACTCGCGACCAATCATTGCCAGCATGCAAACGTTATGGTTATGATTCTAATTACTGCACAAACATTCTCGTTAAAATTACTCAAACGAAACGTGTGCGATTGTACATTGAATGCTTAATTTGCTTCTTTTGTATTTTACGTGAGAGATTTAAATTGCTGAAAGAGAACCTTTTTTTTTCAAAGAAAGAGAACTTTTTTGAATATTTATTTCCATTTGCGTAGATTTTCGCTTATAATATTTCTTTTTTTTTCTCGGAGTTCGGTACTTTTATCAGGCAAAATCTAACAGAAAGTGTCTTTGAACTGACATTTGTCTCCGCTGTGATTAAAATCGAATAAATCTTCAACTGACGCTGCCATTGTCTTGAAACGTTCGATTCCATTTCAATTTATTTTCCGTTACTTTTGAAACTGTTCTTGGAAATTGGCGCTAAATTTGGCAACTTCATTCAGGAAAAAAAACGTTAAATTTCATTTCAGTCGTGACCACCGAAGATCAATAGCTCGTCATTAGCTGACAATTCACTTTTGAATCGAAAAAAAAGAATGGAGTTTTCTTTTCAAAGCCTAAAGTCCGTTAAAGATGTTTGATAGAATGGCAGATTATCGAAAAAAATACGCTATGTGTGATTTGAGATGCCGTTAAAATGTCCGACAACGTCTGTGATGTCAGCATTCAAACAGTGGTGTGAGTTTTCAGTAGGTGTCATTTACAACAACGACAAAACACTGTGACAAGTCAATACGAATATCAAAATTGATATGTCGTCCATTTGACTAAAATTCCATGTCAGCTGTTCCTATTTTGTGTGCATGCCATAACTTTGGCATGCCGTTTTCGCATTTATTCCCACTTCCCACACCAAATATGAACGCGCTCTGATTCAGCCAACAAAAGCTTCAATTTTTTTATTGAACCAATTTTGTGTTTTCTGTTTTGCTTTCTTGCACGATTCAAGTACACGTTTTGGGTGTCTTAATTGTGTATTTACCTGAACACACACACACACACACACACACCCACAAATCGAATGCGGAAGCAAAAAAAAGTGCGATTCGCGAAGAACGGCACGGTTAAACAATGAGCTGGAAACGAAATTCGTTGAATCGTGCAGAATGAAAGTGGAATTGGGTAATGGGTTATTGTTGATTCATAAAAATGGTTCGCTTAAATTACTACATTTATCAAGATGTTTATTTGTAAATTCAATTATAAAGATGATCTTTTAAAGATGTTTCTAATGCCTTAATCGTTGTAATATTTCAATTAAACCAGATCGTTTATTTTCATTGCTTCAAAAAACTTATCGTTTCTATGTGTACTTACATCAAATGAGAGCCGACAAATCAGCAGTAGGTATAGATATGTGATGGATCTTGTGTTAGGCCATCGCGTCGTTGCCATCGCAAGTGTCTGTGTTGGCGTTGGCTTGGTTCGTTTTTCTTCTTCTTCTTCTTCTGTTGAAGGCAGTGAACTTTGTTAGCTCAATTCAAGTCAATTTTCGTAATCGTTCGTAGTTCTGTTTTCACTTCTTTCACCAATTTTATGCACTAGATTCCATTCAATGCTTGATGAGGGAAAAAAAAATAAAATCCACATTAGGAGGTTAAATCTTGGTATTATATTTTACTTTTTTATTCTTAAAAATGCGCATTTTTTACCATGCCGCAGAAAAAAACGAATTGTTTACATTCTGTTCAAATCGAAATCGTGTTAATGAGTTTCAGTGTACGGATCGTAAATAAAGATAAAAAAAAATAAATGTAATACCAGAAATGAAATGAGAGACATAAGTCTTATATATATAAGTAAAGTGTCATTTGAGGGAAAAGAAAATGAAAACCCAAAGCAACAACATCACTTTTCACATGGTAACGTCGCTATTGTTTTGTATTGTTTCGACGATATTTCCCCAATGGGAACTGAACTGTCATCTTGATCGTGCGCGATCTTTGTCTTTGTGTTTTGGCTTTGCTAGCAGTGCTAGCCCAGCACTAAACCCATCAACTTTTGTTCATCCAACTCTCGTGCGCGATGCCACAAACAAAATGTAATTAAAATTATTCAATTAGTTGATTGTTGACGACGGTTTTTTTCCCTCGGTTTTGAAAAGTGAATCTGAATTTCCGTTTTTTGTGGGCTGCTCCAAAACTGTCTCCTATAATTCACGTGAACGAGTGAAAGGTATGGCATATTGTTTGCAGATTATGTTTCACCCGTCTATTGCTGCTGCATCGCAACGTTGTGCTGGCTGGCTTAGCTGAAAGAGATTATCCGTGCAAGTCTAAAACGGATTTAATTTTCTAATTAAATGTCAAATTAGTGACAACTGGAGCGGAAGCGATCACCACCATCCTATCGAATACATTCCATGTTTACGTACGTTCGGTGTAACAAACAACGAAAACAAATTTCATGCCGCGTGAACATTTAATCGGAAATTTGGAAAATCCATTGAATTCTCGTTGATAAACCACTGGCCAACCGGCATATAATTATGATAACCAGCGATTTAATGAAGATTGCATTTTTATTTTTCATTCCATTTTTATTGAAATCAATGAAGCCCCATTTTTGGAATGGCATGCACAGCACACTGTGGTTTGCGTGTTCATTTGGAATGAACGATAAAGAAACAAAATTGCTTAGTATTTCTGTAATTAATTTGCGAATATAATTTGCAGAGAGAGAGAGAGAGAGAAAGAAAAAATTGAAAATGCAATACGTCGACTGCATGCGGTTGCATTTGAATCTTGAAAACGTCAGCATTCATTCTGAAATGCATTTAAATTGTGCACTTTATGGGACACTTAATGTCACAACGCACTAAAAGACCTGTTGCGGAGCAGCGAACCTCATTAATGAGTGTAAAACGTTTGCAGAAAATTGAGATAGAGAGAGAGAGAGAGAGAGAGATAGAGACACACAATGTTTTAGTGTCGCATTTTAAACGACAAACCATTTCAGCTTACATCATTTGCGACCTTAGAATGCCTGAAACAACATACATTAGCCATTATTATTTCGCATGAAAACTAAAATGACGTGGGTTACTTCATCATCACACCAACATACATCGCGCGTGTGCACAAAAACGACGACGATGCGAGAGAAAAAAAACCATTAAATAGAAAACACTGTTTAACTGCAGAGACAAAAACATAAACGAAGCAAAACGAAGTATTCTCTGAAATTGGTCATGGTTTGGGTAGCGAAAGAGAATGCTGCGGGCGAAACGAACGAAGACGAAAAAGACAATAGAATATATAGCGAAACTATAGGCACATTTCGTGATCAATAAATGCGACAAAACCACTGGCTTATCTTTGGCTTCAAATGCGCTACGTCGAACATACACGAAGCTCACATTGGCAATAGGAATATGCATGTGGTGGTGAGTATGATGGACGTAAACGAAATAAAACGATGACATCATAACACTTTGCCCAGTCTGTGTCTTTATTCGCCGCGCGCTCTTGCTCTCTGTGTATTCTATTGCAATATTTGTTTAATGCTCTTTTACCTCTGTCCATATGATGGTATGGCTCTCATGGAGAGTGAGACGATGGTGACCGAAATAAAACGCATGGATTATGTGGTCGGACGCGTGTGTACTCATTCTGGTCGACGTTTATATGCAATATATGCGCATTTAAATAATGGAAAGACAAGAAAACAACGGCAAAAAAAGCCAAACACAAACGATCTTCATTTTGACCATTTCAATTTTTCATCTTCACGTTTTTCCAACCGCCTGGTGCTTCTTCGTGGTTTTTTTTTTGTTGCTTCGTTGGTTCATTCCCGAATCCAATTGCAACACACCGACATGTGAAGCTATGAATTTTCATATTGTTTTTTTTTTTTTGGTTTTGTTCATCTTCTGTAGTTGCTTTGTTTTTGCGCTATTTGCAAATGTGGCCGGCCCAAGCACACAAAAATATGAATGTTTTGACGTGCACATTTCGACTAATCGAAAACGATAAACACAAATCGTGTATGAAATATTACGTAAAATAAAAAATCATTCGTCTGCGTCTGTTTGCTGGTACACACACACACACACACACACACCCACATTTTTTTTCTCTTGTGAAATATTCTTGAGACATGATGGTGTATGGTGTGCTCGTGTGACGATCAATCTTCAGGGCATTTTTCTGTTCACTTGTGATGCGAATCGGATTCGTTTTGCGAAAAGCACAGACGAAAAAAAAAAACTAGTTGCGAAAAATAAAGAAGAAACCTTTTAGTGCCACACACCAAGCGCTGTTTGCATTCGGTTCGTTGGTTCGGCGGACGCGCAGAAAGGATACATATATTTTTAATCCGAATTGTGAGATTGGTGTCTCAGGCGAAAAGTGATAAGCATACACACGCACATACATAATCCGAACCAGACAACAATTTCGATCGTCATTCCCAACCGAGCGACTTTATTCTTATTTTAATAAATTACACCTCCAGTTGATTTCCAATAAAACCACTGAGAAAATAAGCCGCAAACAGGTTGCGAAACATACAGAAGACAACAACAACAATAAAATAACAACAACATCAAATATTCAATGGTAACTTGTCTTACGATAAAATTGAAAAAAAAAAAAATGTTTCAGCCGTAGAACAGAAAAAAGTAGATATTTTAGCTGGCATTGCGAATTGGTTTACGTGGGATTTGTCAGCTACATACAAAAACAAGAACCGACACACCTAAAACCAGAACAATTCACATTTTGACCGAAGTCAAACACAACAGAAAAGAAAAAGAATGAAATCAATTCGACACCGACAGCATTCCAAAGTAAAAGCATTTGGTCAAATGCATTTTGGCATCAATCCATTACAAATGCGATTACATTTATCGACGAAGAGATAGAAAACAAGAAACAGGTCCATTCCGATTTTGTTCGCTGTCTGGTGAATAAGATTCAAATCCAAAGCATAACAAATTACAGCGGTCGTCTGAATTGAACTAGATAACTATTTTCGGGATGGAATGATACAACTCTTATTAAGTAAGCTTGAAGTAAGCATAAAAGACTTTGTTTATTGAATTGTTTTGTCTGTTGGTTTAATTGTGAGTTCTTTTTTCCACTTAAAATGCGAATCATCATATTTACAAACAAAATGGATCATAAAGAATTTGTTTAGGCCAAACACGAACTCGAATCGACCCGAAACGAACATAATCATTTGCGTTATGTATACCGGGTCTATTTAGCAGCATGAATATATGCCGTTTATTCATCAAACCGATTTCTGTTGTGTAATGCTGGAATGTTTTTTTTATGACAAAAAGAGAGATTAATCAATGGAATTGTTGATTTTCTTTTTCTATTGACGAATCGAATGCTTTTGATTGTGATAAAATATTCGAAATGATAGACGGTCGACAATCACCGTTATGACTTTGTTTGTTGAATATTTGATTATATGCCATCACTTCGCTTCCGTTTCGTTCCGTTCGATCGTTTGAAAACGAAGAAACAGAGGAACGGTCTTCGGAGAAAAGAAGATTTAGAAAAACGATTCCATTGGCATAATAAATTGTTTCCGTTAAAAATGTTTCTTCAGGACCGGTCAAAAAGCATCTACATTTCAAGAGCGTGAAACAAAGCAGATCAAATTCGATCTCGACCGAAGCAACGTTGTGGCCGTGCATCACGACAGAATGTGGCAATTGCTTGACTCAATAGATAGAAGCCCGACCTCTAAGCTCAGGCAGGTGAAGTGAGAGAAAAAAAAACGACTGAAGCAACGAACAAGACGAGCAATTTCCAAACGAGGTATTGATTGCATCGAAAAGTACGTCAAAACACGAAAACCGTTTACCTTCTTTTTTCTCCCGATCTTCTATTCGAAGCGACCGCAAAAAACGAAATAGGAATCGCTTTGCGAAACACAAACGGTTGTTTTTCATCGTTGGCGATATCATTCAATATTTTAATTGTAGCTCGCGCACGCGCAAAAACACATTCTGGCTGCACAAGAAGCAAACGTATCGTGTCTACTTAAATGGATTAAAGCATCTCCTTCGGTTTGGCCAGAGAGTGTGAGAGACAGAAACCAAAAGTACTACAGCCAACATGTGCAAAGAATTTCAAACGATTTAAACGTGTGTATGGTGTTGTTGTTTTTTTTGCAAAATAGCGTTTTCGTTGCCATGACAAGTTTTAAGCGCGCGCTCGCAATTCAAACGGATAGTTTGCAACGGAACATTTAAAAATGGTTGGTTCTTTATCGCAATTGGTAGTGCAACGGTCGTTCGGTTTCATTGGCAATTCATTTTACACAAAATGTAATGATACAGAAGGCAACGACGATGATCGAATGCGGCTGTTGTTGCTGGTGCATTTGGCGCCATAATTCGAAAATCAAAGCTTTATGTTTTGTGTGTGTGTGTGTATGTGTGCGCAAAGTATAAACTATTTTTACCGTAATGGGGATTTGTGATTTCAATGAAACGATCCTCGTCGCATGAAAAAGACACGAATTCTTCCGCGAACCAAACAATTCGCGAAGCGGCAATCAAAATGAGCTCGTTAATTAAATTCCTATTGAGATCGATCCGTTTTAATGAACCGTAAGCGAAGAACCTGATTTTTTGTTCGACGTTACAGGTTCATTTTGGTGCTTGAAATTGATAACGTGAACATGATAAGTCCATTGGATATAACTAATGAGCTTCAGTTACATTATCTATTGCTGTTCATGTGCGCAAAAAAAGACTGGTTGCAAACAAAGTAAGCTTTTGTCTCTGAAGAGAAGGAAAAAATCGTTTTTTTTTCTCTCGAGCATCGTTCAGCCAATTTAAATCATTGCTCCGACCTAGATTTTATATTCGTTTGATTTCCAGAAGAAGGAAATGATTTTTTTGTGTACATCTCTCTCATTCAATTGCACAAATTTGGTTGTTGTTGTGATTCAATTCGGTCGATGTCTAATTTTGGTCTCTCTCTCTCTCCCTGGCTGTTTGGATGAGTTCGCCTTGGAAAATCCGATGCGCTTTTCTTCAACCGATTTCAATACGCTCTCATGAAGTACGCGATTTGTGATTTCAACAATTAGATGATGCTCACGATCGTTTGCTGTCCACGTATTATATTTGGTGTTTCGTAACGAACCGAATTTATTTTTCTCTCTCTCTTCATTTGTTTCATGGCAATTGGCCCATCGAGTGGAAACTGCAAGTAATAAATAATAAGGTAACAAAATACACATCATCATCTCCGAGAGTTTGGCTGTTAGCGAACGAGCGAGTGAGCGCAATGATATAACAAAGTGCCATGTCAATAATCTCCGATGATCGGACGCGTGTGGTATACGAGTCTAGCGACGAATCGACACTATATGAGCATTTAAACACCTCTTTTTTCGCGATTTCTTTGTCTCGCAGACATTTTTTTTTCTGTTTTGTTTTCAATGCTGTATTATTATATGTTTCTCTCGCGAACGTGTGCGTGCGCGCGCAATTCGCTTTGTTATTGCTTGCCTAGTCAACAGGCCATGCAAACAAGATTTGGTTTCAATTTTTACCTTCCCAATGGTTTTCTTCCTCATTTTCGAATCGATGAGTATCGTGTGTGTGTTCGCGCGCGCGAGAGAGAGCGCGTGTTGCAGGCGAGTCGAGACAGACAAAAAAAAAGCATCGACAAAAACACTTTCTATTTTTATTCCGTGCGGCCACCACAAAGAATGTGAACGTGTTGAAAATTGGTCTGCTGTGCTTTGGCACAAGATGGTTAAGAGGTCTTGTTTTGTGGCTTCGGGATTATTCCGTGATAAAAACACAACAACAAGACCGCACCAGGTAAAATGCGACAGAGAGTGAGAGCGTTGCTCTAATTGGCACACACATACACCTCGTACTCGCACACCCGATCTCAAGAACGAAACAAAAGACACAGCGTTGTGAGGAAGAAAAAAAAACACACATATTGCCGAAGAAGGGAAAAACGAAAATGAGAAGAAAAAAAAATGTTGTAATCTGAATCAAGTTAATAAAAATGGTTACACAATTCACATGAGTTTCCGAAATGTGAACCACTGTGGGATGCTCAATGTCGAATCACACACGAAAGCAACAACGTTCTGTTGTCGAAAATGAATCATGATATCATTTTCAAATTTAATACTATGATACGTTTTTATTTATTCTTGTGTCGCTTGTTTTGTTCACAAGTTTTTGCTGGATTTTTTAGTTGCTGTTGTTCGTTTTCTCTCTCTCAACAGATAGATACATTTCAATAGACTAGCATACTTTAGTGAATTTCAATTGCATTTTGAAAAGGTAGCGCTCATTTTCCTGTTTTATGGATTTAGTCATGTGGTCGCGCGCGCATCTGTCAAAATCAACCAAGAAACAAATTTACATCACACTGAAATAACAATTCTAATATTCTGACGTATATAAATTGAGCAGCTTTTTTATTTCAACCGTGTTGTTGTTGCAAGTGCTGCCGCATTTGGGGTTTTTTTTCTCTATAAAATATTTTTTCATTTACTCGTTCGCATCGACACTCAATAATGTAAACAGACTCGCAACAATTGCGTTTGTAATAATTGATATGCATATCTTGAACTCAATAATTCACTTTTTGGTTCACGTACACTGGAAGCAACCCGCACACTATTTCAACTACTAATAAAAACTACAATAAAAACGTCGTCTTTTTTTTTGTTTATTTGTTAGAAAAAATTTGTTCACTTGTAAACTGCACTTACTTTGTAGATAAGAGAGAAGAAAATTGAATAAAATTATGATTATTTGACTCTGGTTGTCTCTTGTGAATGATAAATGTTTAGGTTGAATGAAATGCGCTCTTTCTAAAACAGAAAAACAATGCTTTTTTTTCTCTCTACTGTTGCGCGTATGCACAAAAGCGTCGCAATCGTTACATATCACTTTGGATCGAAAATAATGACTGACTGGAAGTTACGGACGTGCAGACGGTTTGAGTACGTTCGGCGAGCACGATGCGATCGCTGATCATGAATACGCTGCACACATACACACACATACAACGACACATAAGCTAATACAATACACCAACTCAATGCAAACAAAACAGCCCGTTCGGTTTCTGGTTCTTTTGTTGGTCTTGCTCGCGCGCGCGTGAATATATGCAATTGTGTTGGTGTTAGGTCGCGCGTTATTTTGAAATAGCCGATAGGTAAACAGAAAACTGGAAATGGAAGTGTTGGTGAGCGCGAAACCGTATCGTAACTGCTTGAACAGCGCAGAGCAGGTCGCTGTTTGCGAACGCAATATTAACATCACTGGCATCGGTAGCAACAGCAACAACGATAGCAGCTCTATGAATCTACGGTAAAACTCAAGTCAAATTACACATTCTATATGACGACTCTATTGAGTTCTGGATATTTCGTTTGTCTTTTGTGTTTGCGCATGAAACGCACCACGAATTCGGCTCGAAAAAAGAAAACAGACGATTGGGTCGGTGTGAGAATTGAAAACCGTATCGTAATGTCTGTTATTCATTTGATTCGCTGAAATTTGTCTCGTCGTAACGTTATGGCGCGCACAATATTCTATTCTCAGTTGTAGAATTCAATGGTCGAAACGCATTTTTTTTCTCATTTGTTCTGTCTTTCGCGCGAATTGTGCAATTCACGCCAATTTCGTATGCAAAACCAAATGAAGAAAAAAACTAACGAGTTGTTGCTAAATTGTGAATATTATGTTGGTGTCATTTGTCAAATTCCATAGCCCAAACTCGTTTCGCTACCATTCCATCTCATCAATAGTACATTAATCGCACGTTGTTGTTCTCTTCTTTTTTTTCCTATTCCATACATCATCCGGTCAAATGGACTGTAGCTCAAAAGAATATATGCGATTTCTCGATGTAAAACAATATGCACAACATTTTCAGTCGCTTTGCAGACGATTTGTTTTCTTTTTATTGTTCCGACAAACATTAACGCAACACTGATATCGGACTGAAGTGTTATCGCGAGTGTGTGTGATGGTGGTGTTGGTGGTGGGGTTATGGTGTACTTGTACGCTGTTACTTTTTTGTTTATCGCACATTTAAACGCTTAATTGCCGTGCTGTGTCCGACTTTGTACATCGGTTGAAGGCTAACATTGCATTCAATGAACCAGCATCAACGATATATATCTATATGTTCTAAACAGCAATTGCAATTTGCTGCTTTGTTCTTTTAACGTACGGCCAAATTGCGTAGATGCAATGTAATGCCTTAATTTATGCATCTGATCGCGTTACATATTCTAATGGGGAATTTCAGTGCAACGGCCACTTGAACTAATTCTTTAAAACAGGAATTCAACGCGGGTTTTTTTTTGTTGCTGTTTTTGCATCGAACAGGCTACATACGGATACGATGAATGAATCAGGTTTTTTTTTGTATTCACATTCAAAATATAGGCCATTTCAAACATTTTACTCTTTTTCAACATCTCTTTTACCGTGTATGATAATAACAATAATTAGAATTTTATACATAAAAGAGTCCATGTTCCATGTTCTATAGAATATACGCTGTTTTATAGCATTTCAACTGCGCTATGGAGACTTGAGCTCTTTTATGTTCCTCTTTTCTGATCTTTTTGGATTTATTACAACGACAATAAACATTGAAACTCATCCCAATTGTGTTAATCAAAAATTTATCTATTTCTCACAGTCATAAAAATGCGATGCAATCAAAATATAAAATTCACATCAAAAATTTGAAATTTATGCACTTGACGCACCAATATCTGCTGTGTATGTACTTTTTCATTTCATCGTTTTGTTTATTTCCCCTAATTTTATCTATCATCGTTTCAATTACACAGCATTAGATTATGGAAAATTACATCAAATAAGACTTTTAAATCATAAACTACTTCGAATAAGCCCACAAATTTGTTTGTTCTTGATAAAAATCGGATTCGAAGCAAAATTCCGTTTGCATTCAATAGATGGAGCTGCTGTCATTTGAGAAGGCGATGAATTTATTTATAACACGGTTTTTGCCTTGGATTGCTCTATAGCAAAAGCTAATCTATTGGTTTCATTTGATGTAACCGATGTAATGTTTTCCTTCTTTTTCTTCGTATACCAAAATTTTTGGCCTTTTCAAAATTTGACCATTTGTTTTCAGTTCAATAATGTAACAATCTTAATACTAATAATCTTTTTTTTATCCCATTCTTGTTTTAAATGCAAACTCTATCTCTCATTCCATCGAGGGAAATTCAAAGCGAAACGCGTTCCAACGCATGACTACTCAACTCACAAACCATGCGTTGTACCAATCATTCATATTCGTTTGTTCAGCATGAATAACATTTTCCATGTTTTGCAGTATGTACTATGTTGTGGAGTCTCTGTTTCTCTTATCCAACGCGGTGGATCAATAAATGGCATGAAAATGCCATGCGCCATAAAAAAGAAAGAAGAAAAAAAAAACACTTTAGTTCACATTTTTACTTTTCAAGCATTTTCAGTGAGAAATTCTTCAGTTCGAACATTGATTCTGTTTGTGCTGCGTGTGTTTTGTGTAGCATCTGTGCGATTTTTGTGTGACACAGTGAAAATCGACATTTGTTGGAAGCGAAAGTGTTTTACCTAGTTATCCATAAATCATTTTTTCCCAATTGCAGTGTGTGAATCAAAAAAACACACACATCGTTTAGTTTGTCATCATTTCTTTTGCCCCGCTGTCATCAACGAAAATTGTCTATATTTAGTGTTTCCGTAAAATAAGAAACTGTCACTGAATCACACATCGCTTGTAATTAATTATTACAGAGAGGCATTGCAAAGCTTATTGGATTCCTTGGATACTGATAAGCCATAAGAAACTAGTTCATTCTAATTGGTATTTATAGTTGTTGCTGCTCAGTGTGGAACGGATTTTGTGTGATCAACAAAGTGATAGCAAAAAATGTAAGTTTTCCGTCTGGGATTTTGTGTAAATGAAAATGAGAGAATGAAGAAGAAAAAAAAACGCCAAGAAAATATCACACAAAAAACGATTTGGTTTGTATTTCAAAGCTGGGTTTGGTCAAAGAGAAGAAAACAAATTACACCTTTACGTCGTACACAAATCCTAACTCATTTTCGTAAATGATTCGGGCGATTCTGGGATTACATCAATGCTATTATGTTGACTCTTTTCTAAATGGAAAATTTCTGCTAGTTTTTGGTACATCACAATTTGTTTACTCAGGATTTCATGTTTTGTCTGACGAGAGAGTGTGCCTGTGCACACTTTTTGCGTTCGCACGTAAACGTTGAACTGTCACTTTTTCACTGGCAAGAGGTGCTACAAATTTGCCATAGATATTTATCAATCAACACCATTTTTAGACATTTAAGCAACACCAAACAGAAAGGGTGCTTGAAAATGAACATTTCATTAACAGTCAACAACGGTTCATATCAAAATCCAGACGAGCCACTTTACTGAAATTCGACACTTGCCTCTTTTTTTGCCTGCAGAAAAAATATATTTTTTTTTATCCTATGTGATTGATTGCGATAAAAACATTTTGTTTTCGCTACGTGACAAATGGAAATCATTGGACAGCTCTAAAAAATATCCAAGTTGTTAGTGGGAGGTGTTTTTGTTTTTGAGTTAAACTTGAACAAGATGTTGGAACATTGCATTTCCATTTCGAATCACCTACACATGTCTCTCGGTAAGCCATACCATTGCCGTGTGTTACGTAAAACCGCCACCACTTGAAAATGTTGCCTCACATTGATTGACACACAAATTTGCGGTTGCAAAACAACCATTCCATGGTTCCATGGTCCCATGCAATGACTTGTTTTGAGGAAATTGAAAATGCCACGAAGATTCGTGTTCCATGATTGAATTTACACGTGAATTTGGGCCGTTTGTTGCGTTTAAAAAGCAATTTCTGCAATTTTTCCTCCCCTAACTTCAGTAAACATCCATTAATAACGGATAATTACGCGTAATTATTGTCATTTACCTAAATCCAATTGAAATTATGAATTAGTCAGCGATGAAATGCAACCGTCGAACGTATAGATTTGATTTTCAAATGGTTATTAACAGTTTATGAAAATGTAATGAATGCAAAATCATTCGAATTACCTAGAGACCCCGTTAATTAAATCCATCATACTTGGTCAAATGTGATACATGCAAAGAATTTCCATATCACCATGCTGTGTTATGCATCAAATGCCAAGCATTTTTTCAGGTGATTTGAAACATGAGCTTGCCGTTCATTGTCAAGACTTCTATTAAAAAGACAAAATCGCAATTCCTTTCATTCATCATTTTTCCCCTCGTTTGTTTATGAGCGTGATTATCGTTTCTGTATATATATTCTGTCTGACACACAATCGATGCACACACTTTTTTTTACCTCATCGTATTTCTCTACGTTCCCATGATTTTACCTTCGTGCTTTTATCGTATTTCATTTAAATATGGTTCACACACACACACAAGGTGGCTCGTTGGATTACAATGAAAAACACATTTCAGAGCGAGTACTTGCTTTTCGTTTCCGTTTTTTATGCACATTCATTCAATTGGATTTGGGGAGTCGAGCGCACAAGACGACACACACAGTGTATTCACCCAACGATGGCTGCGACGACGACGAAAACGACAACGACAACGTACGAAAATTGGTGTAACGCTTGTTCGTGTTATCGATTTTGTTTGGCCAACGGCACTACCAGTGTACGTCTTGTTTGATAAGAAAAGTCGAATCGCTTCCAATCCAAGATACAAATGCCATTGCGAGTGAAACAAAAGAATATCACACGTAATGGCGAACCATTGATTGGCGTGCACGGTGATGGTGTTCAACCATGCGATATGCGTCGCAAGTTCTTAACTAATCCCGAACACTTTGTCCCAGTAGAGAAAAAATTCGCTTCAAATATTTAAAAAGCAGCAACAACAAAAATACGACAAATAGTTTATGCAACGTTTAATGCTAATATTATGGTTTCCTCCGTCACTTTTGAAATGGGCAAAAAACAGTGGGAGAACTCATTACATTAGCACGTTGGTGTCTTGGATTTTTCTCAGATTTTTCACATTTTCTCGTTGAATGACGTGTATTTATCTTGGATTTCTTTTCTTCTTCGAATTTCTCTCCTTTATTTCTTGAATTTTTGCCATTGGCTATGTTTCCCTTGGTTCGAAAATACATCTCGTTATGTTGCTTGACATCTTGTTTCTCGTGTAGGATTCGTTGTACTGAAAATTAACTTTTATTCAAGTCACTCGAATGGTCAATTTGCAGCGTATTGAACTTTTGAAAAGTTATTTTAAACGTAATTGAAAAAGCTTCGCATCGCCATCGAATCGCATGTCACTGCTGAATTGACATAGATGTATGTCAGGCAGTCAGGCGTCAAAGAACTTTGCGTTCGGATTATTACACATACACTTCGATAACAGCTGATAATGAATCAATAGTTTTCAAAAACTTCTTTCATACGCTCATTCAATTGCGTTCAATGAAAAGGGCATACCATTCAGTTCGAACCAGATCAAATACGAAACAGTCCGTATTGATGTGGATTTTAAATGTCAAGGAAATGTACCGTTGCGTCGTCGTCGTCATCCGTTTGTCTACGAAAACCCTTAAGTAATTTAAAATGTCGGCATTGTCGCAGTGTTTCAAAGGTCTACAACAAAAAGTTGTGACAACAGCTTTGAAACCGCCTCGAACATAAACCTTTGTACTTTAGCAAGAGCCTCACAAAACCCATACGAATATTGGAACCTACTTTCAATTTTATGCTGTAATTGTTTTGCTCTTCAAAAAAATTACATGGAATTTGGAAGAGCAAATAAGGAAGTTGGTGTTTTATTGGTACTTCCATCGGTGAATTTGAGGCGTAACTTTGCACCTAAGCTGCGTTAGAAATGACACATATTTTATCAATTAATATTTGTTTTGAACAAGGCAAGTGCGGTGGTACGTGTGACAGCCGACGCAGAAAATGGGAAAATAGGCACCGAGCAATTTTTGTCAGGAAGCGTGCTTCGGATGTGATTCTTTTAACTTATATGTTGTCATAAAGGAAAATTATATACCCACATCAACGCAGTGTTGTGCAACACTGTACCGAACTGAATGTGTTGTGCGAGGTTTATGAGGATTATTATATTATGTGCGAGTGGGTTCAGTAAAAAATTGTCATGTCACGTTTTTCTATGCAAAATCACTGGGACATGAAAGTTCATTTGATGAAGTCGATAGAAAATTTATTCCCCACCTTATCGACAACGCACAATTGAAAAGACGAGTGTTACCTGTATGCAATTCAGTTGTTTACAATACAATTTCACTGTTTTTTTAATGCTATGTGAAAACCTTGCGTTAATCGATTAAAGACAAAAACCAAGTCAGCATATACCTGCCGTAAAGGAATGTGTTTACCCAAATCATTCCTTTAATACGTTCGAATTGGATTATGGTCTCGTGTGTTTGATTTTACAATTTACAAACACCTGGCAACCGTCAGATGAGATTTCAGATTCGAATAGTTCGTGCGCTGGGTATGTGTGTTAATTTATTTTGTATGTCGAGAGACCGTGCGAAAGAGTTTTATCGTACATCGGTCTGCTTTATTGGATTGGTGGGCTTTTTGAATTGCTATTTATAGTTTGCGCTTATCGTGAAATTGTAACAACCTGTTTGGATTGTGTGCGATTGCAATGACGACGACGACGACCTTGTAACGACCAAATGATGCTTGTAAATTAATGTCCATGGAAAATTGCTCGCCCATCCTTTTCTGCCGACAAATTGAATCAAGCACAACGCACTCCATTTTTATACACACATCCGGCTATGCTGTAAACGATAAATTGTGGCTTTTCCCAAGGATGAAGATGGGTTTTTTCATTTATTTACTTTTTCCATTTTACACCGTTCCATCCATAATTCGTACTATTCACAGCTTATTACGCGCAAATTTATTCATTATTACAATGTTTCCTTTACTTCGTATTCATTGTTACATTTTTTTCATTTAACATATTTATGATGTTCTCTGTTTCTACTACCAGATTTCTAAATCATCCGTTCACAAAGGAGTTTTTCAAACAGCAACAGCAGCAGCAGTATTTAAATAAGCTGGTAATTGAATCGAAAACAGCTACGGTTAGGGTGAGCTGTTTTCGGTTTATTTCTGTGACGTAGGTCAATATTAGCACAATTGCAAACGTTGATTGTGGGCGAATCTGCGCCCCACAAGTGAGTCAAAATTAATTCAATTATCAAGCCATCACTGTGAATCCTTTCATTAATATTTCATAATATAATAACCGTTTTTCTTGTTCGCACCAGGAGAAAACCGGCACACTGAACTTCTCAAGTTTCAAAAGTAGCTTCACTTCAAATGTCAATTTCCTGAAACGAAGGTAATTCATTCGCTTTATATACATTGTATTCGGTTTTCAATTCACTTTCCGAGCATTATTTCTGTTTTTGTCATCCACTTTGTGTTATGATTTAATTTTCTGTTTTTCGTCGTGATTTTATTCCCCTGGAGGGCGAGAACGGACACACGAAAGACACGAATTTACACCATATTTTTTTCATTTAAATCGATTTAAAAAAAAAATTCAAACATTTTAAGAGCCAATGAAAGGCTTTGTACAGGATACACACAACACACACACACATTTTTTCGCAACCAAGAGTATTTGAAATATGATCTCTGCCGGAGGGTGTAGCATAAAAAATGTGTCATTTACCACTGTTGACATTAGATAATTTAATAGACGGAATAATTGACCTAGAAGCTATCTTGTTGCTGTCTTCATTTCGGGCTATTCTATTTCAAGTGTCTTGGTGGATGATACACAACCATATTCTAACTCAACATACACTGAACAATGATGAAATATATCGGTCGGAACGGTTGCCACACGTTTTTTCTCTTTCCGTTGCATCAGACAAATGTTTCTCATTTCCATGAATCCAATTTTCCATTGGATTGAGCACACATAATTTTACACTCAACAGCCTCTCATCCATAACTTATGAATCATAAGTGTAAATCCATCATGTTGAAACATTCATTCATCAAAACACTCGACACCACCGAAACAGAGAAAATATTCACTCTACCCGAAAATTTGTACAAACACACCTACACACACACACACAAATATTACATACACACACAAAAAAAATGGAATTATTTTGTCACTTTATTAATATACTTTTTTCGATTTTTTTTCTTTCTTTCTTTTTCTCGCAAAAAAAAATCAAACCTAAATTCTGCTCTGTGCAAACCAAAAATTAACACTCTTTTGTCGATTGAACACACACAAAAAATTGCAAAATTGCGCACATAAATACTAACCGCACCAACTCTTCAAAATGTTGCCACAACAAACAAAAATTCCTTTAACACAGACAGTAATTACGACAAATTTTTTTCTCTTTGTCTCTCTCTCTCTCTCGACTAAATTCGTTGTTTTCGTTTTGTGTTTTATATTGATTGAAATTCTTTCCCAATTTATTGTTTTTCGTTTCAATTGGACTTGAATACTTGCACATTATTTGAGTTCAATTGTGTTTATTTTTGTATAGATTTAGACGAAATTATTAACCGAAACTAGTTTTAGTTCTTGTAATATATATATAATATATATAACTCCTGATATACATATACGAGTAGTTTGGAGCGAAAATGTTATACAGAAAAGTTGAGAGGAAAAATGTCAAATGAAAAGAGATAGCTATATAGTTCACTATAGTTTACTATACAGTTTACTATATAGCTATCCCTTTTCCGCTCATTCATCATCGACATTTTTTCGCTCAACTTTTCTGTATAACATTTTCGCTTCAAACCAATCATATATGCTAGATAGATGCTTTTACGTAGAATTTATTTATCGTTCTGGTTCTGTTCTGCAAATGTGATTAATGGATGCACACGCACTAATTGATTTACGAATGTGGCCGTTTTTAGATTCAGTTCGGGAGATTTGTCTTCCGAATGTGATGATGTAGACCCGAACGATCCAACTGGCACCGCGCGCGCACCACCACCACTTCAACAGCAACCGATGCCCAATTCAAGCGGTGGCCCACCAAGTATGCCACCACCTCCAGCTCCGACACGTGGTTTGTTTCATTTGATACTACGACGACAAGAAAACTAATTTCTCCGACGAAAATTGCTTATGAAGATGTTATTAATTGTTCTAGCTCAATCTGGAAATGCACCGGATTTATCGTTGAGCTTTGGTAAGGGACCAGCACGTGGTACTAGCGCTCCGGCAAGTCCGGCAAAATCACGCGAAAGCTTATTGCAGCGTGTTCAGAGCTTGACTGGTGCTGCTCGTGATCAAGGCGCATCAATCATTGGTAACTATCTCCGATTTATTTATTAGATTGATGGAATATTTCCATTTTTATTCGTTCACGAATTGGGTTAATGGGTGTTGATTTCACCATTTCGGGTAATTTCATTTATTATTCATTTTGCGTTAATACCAAGAATATTTCACATTGTAAAAAATTCCATCGATTCAAATTGAATCGTTTCGAATTCGACCAAGGTTTTCTGTTGAATATTCCATGAATTCTACTGAGAATGTGATATTCGCAGGTGCGGCTGTTCAAAGTGCAACGCGTCCAGCATTCAACAAAGATCGTTGCTTTACTTTGCTTGTTCTTGATGATCAGAACACCGATTGGTCAAAGTATTTCCGTGGCAAGCGCTTGCACGGCGACTACGACATTCGTGTCGAACAAGCCGAGTTCAAGGTAAATTATAATCCATTTTAGCTTCATGATTCGACAAAACAAACCAGAATTAAAAATTTAATGCAAAAGAATGGTACCACCATTGAGTTGAAAACATCTGTAAATTTTAGGAAATTGGATTGGCTTCAAGTTCTGAGAATGGAACGACGGTGTCGATGGCGGTCTTTCGTGGAGGCACCAAGGTCAGAATAATAAGCTTACCTTTGTCAATATTTGCATTTCTGTATTCTGTTTACCATGTTTTCACTCTTGTATTATTCATAATGTACGCAGGTGGTGCGTTCGTTTAGACCAGATTTCGTGTTGATTCGTCAACCTCCGCGCGATGGTTCACGAGATTATCGCTCGACCTTGTTGGGTCTTAAGTTCGGTGGCGTTCCATGCATCAATTCATTAAATTCAGTTTATCAATTCCAGGTGAATGAACACAAGTCTATTTATTCTAAAAATGAAAACTCCTTGAAAAACCTAAATAATCCGAATTTATTTCCAGTATTTGTTACAAAAAAAAAATCTCATTTTAAAATGAGAATAAACAATTTTGTAAAGAAATGGTTATTTGTTGAAGAAAACTGGAGAAATAATTTGATTACGAAAATTCATTGTTCAATATAGGAAAAGCCATGGGTATTCGCTCATTTGTTGCAACTACAACGGCGCCTTGGAAAAGACAACTTCCCGCTGATCGAACAAACATTTTTCCCAAATGCTCGGGAATTGGTGAGTGAAACACATACACAATCTTCTTTGATATGCATTAAATTCCACTTTAAAACGACTCTTCGGGAATCTGACGAATTTGACTTTTGACATTGTTTTGAATTTAGTTCAAATGCTAAGCTAAAGTTTTCGAATGTGATTTTGTTTTTGAACTTCCGGATTGATGTTGCGTTCAGCATGCATCATACATTGTAATGGTAAAACATAAGCAAGTCATTTACGATAGTGAAACCTTTGTTTCTGTTAGTGCTATGCATCTCGAATAGTATCGATCCATTCTTGACCGAAATGAAAACATTTCGCTAGTAAACTTTGTTTTTCTTCTCAAATTTCATGATATTTATGTTCCCATTGGGAACTTTTCGAACAGGATTACCATTAAAACATCAACTGAGCAAACAAACGACTCTATAGCATGCTACTCGCTACATTTCTAAATGCCTGAACAGCTGTTAGAAAATGTTTGCAGTAAATATTTCTTCTGTAGAGATTTGAATGAGAAAAAAAATACAAATAGAAAACATATTCAAAATCTTGTTTGGCTATCCAAGCAAAGAGATAAAAATTTCAAGCCTCCACTATTTTGTTCTTATATTTGTACTGATCCTAATGCTACGGGCTACAAGTTATATAAATATAAACGGAGAAGCTTCAGTTCAATTTGAGAATTTGATTTTGAGTGTGTTAAGTACTTTAACTACGTGCTAACCATAAATTTATTCATCTTTACACGAAACACAGTTATTACTTCATTTTAAATAGAAAAAAAAAACATCGAAGAAATTAACTATAGAACTGGTGAGAAATAGTTGTAAATAATCAAGTGAATGGTTTTGACTAAAAGTGAAATAGTTTTTTTTGTTATTTAAAAAAGTTCATCTTGTCGTTGGGCCTGTCGAGCTTTGCAGGTGTTGTACGGTTGACTTGGTCGCCAGTGGCATTTAAGTGGTTTTCCTTCGGGTGTGTAGTGGCCACGTGCTGGAACACAGGCACCGTAATCTGTTTCACATTTTGTGAACGGACGCCAATTGCAAGCACCAATCGACTGGTGGAAGCCCTCCATTTGGAACATTGGTTTGATCTAGAGCGTGGCGAAAAAAAAAGCACCGAGAAAAAGTTTTTATACAATTTATCCACCAAAACTGGACGAGTATAATCAATGGTTGTTCTGAACTTACTTCACATGCGCATCCTTTTTTGTAGCCACCGGCGAAGCCACGTCTCTCGACGATGGTCATTTGGGAATACTCTTTAACGTAGTTACAAATGTTAATATGCTGTGAATTACCAGCAATCAAATAGAGTTTGCCAACTTTCAAGCTCAAGCCGCCACACAGCCCATCCGAACCGGGCGTAAGCAGACGCCCCTCACGCAAGAAATTGTCCGTTTGTGATGATTTCTGGGCAAAAAAATTCATTTCAATTAGAAACTTTCTGTCAACACGAAATATCATATGCATTTTGCTTTCATTCACTCACCTTATACGCTTTCTTCACTTCAATCTTGTAGACATCGTTGTGGTTGATTATTCGATTCGATTTTCGCAATACTCTCGCCAGTATCACTGGAAAGAAAAAAGCAAAAGAAAATAAAAATGAAAATGAAATGGGTAAAAAAAGAGCATCTTGTAAATGTTTCTCGATCAAACGAAATCAATTATGAGCACTGTGAACCATGAATCCATGATTCGTCGGCAACCATTGCCAGAGATTAATATTTCTTACGAATTTTATGAACATAATAAATTCCAGTTAATGTGTTAAAGTGAACATTTGTAAAGTGTATCGGAGAAAAACCTTCATGCCAGATGCGAACAATCATCAATTTGGAGAGCGTATGGAATTCATGCGAAAAAATCAGCGGCGGCGATGGCGGCAAGGGAGAAAAAATTAAATTTGTTTTTTTATTCAACGCTTTCGGCTGTGAATGGAATTCATTATACAGTGAAAGACCTCGTTTTATACCGAATGAAAATCGATATCAGAACACCATCATTTCGATGTTTAGTTTCGGTGTGCGAGACGGTGACGCGCGTTTAAACATCGATATACACAAATGGGCGAGGAAAAAAAAACAACAACTTACCGTAATCTGAATTACAGTACCACGATTGTGAGTGTCTTGGCATGCACATGCAAGCTGTGGATGTCTGGATCTGCATCAGCATTATGGCAATCGTTGCCAGCACCGTCACTCCAAGCAACTGTCGCATCATCATTTTTACGCTGGCTCTGTACACTGTAAACAAAAAACGTATAAACAAGTTAAACTGTGTGAGTCTGTGTGTCTGTGTAAAGGAATGAGAAAGCGATGCGAAGAGAGAAAATAATTAACATGTTCTCTGACATTGATTGCGATCGTATTAAATGTGAATTTCATGACCGAACTACAATTATTCATTCAATTACATTGAAACTCGGTTGCTCTTTTTTTTCCGAAAAGAACATTTGCTCGATTTGATCATTAGTCACAGATGGTCCACTTCCTACATTTTTTCCGAGCTACTTTTTCGGTTCAGAGAGTAATTCAAAATTTTGACAATCGATTATTGGCAATTGCTTTTGATACTTTGGTTAAGCTAAATCGATTAATTGGCTAAGCCAATTTGGCTTTTGTGTTCAAATCGATTATATTTCCGATCATAATTTGTGTTGTTCATGTTCGTGTCAATGAACGTTCGTTCCACGCGATTTTGTTCGAAAGCTAACAATCGATTTTAATTGAAATTTTGCTTACCAAAAGTTTTAAACAAGAAAAAAATGCGCATACACATCAAATGAGGAACAAACCAGACGCAATTAAATTGTGTGGTTTATTCCATGGAAAAAAAATTTGTTTAGATTGGCGTGCCAAAATAAACGCGTTTCATAAATTTGTTTGCATAAACAGAATTTTAAGTGGCAAAGTAATTTAAAAATTATCAACTTTTTTGGGTTTTTTCCAGGAAAGCAACCAAAACAACAAGAAAGTTGCCGATTATTCAACGAAATTTGTGGTGTTTGAATCACGTTTAAACCAGAGAAAAAAAAATCTTATTGAAAATGTTTCTTCCCAATGGATTTTGACATGTCAAGACAAAATTGGTTTGTCTGGTGCTTTGATGACGAAGAGTGGAAGTAATTATGCGTCCGCCTTCGATTTTTTTTCTCTTTCGTGTGGCTACTTCAATTTTGCAAAAACCGCATCAACACACATTTTTTCCACAATGATTGCGGTGAATAAAATTGTAATTTATTGAAACCGCCGAAATGCTGCTGGCCATGGAAAAGCCGACAACAATCACAAATGTGTTTTTTTTCAGTCTATCTTTTGTGTTGTGTTTTTTCTGCGCCAGGAGAGCTGTTTACACACAGCCGAATTTATTGCTGTTCAAACGCAACGCATGTAATCACTTTTGCAACGAGATTCGGCATGTATTTCGGTACAGCGACAACAGCAACAACGAGAAAACCACTCGGCGAAAAACTAGAGCTAGAAAAGTTCCAAAGTGTAGAATAATCTGCATAGAATGTGGCAAAACACCGAGGCGCATATTATTTATTCTTTATGTTTGCCATGTTTTGGCATTATTAATATGATTGCTCCGATGGGTTACATCATTCATCGTGTTCAATGCCGTTTCGAAATGTAAAGGTAACCTGTTAAGTGTCATGTAAAATGGAGATATATTGCCGACATTATCGCCAACGATGTAACTCATCCGAACCACATCTCTCTTTCTTTATTCCGCTTTGTTTATTTCGCCGTATGCATTTTGAATGGAAATTGTAGCGAAAAACATTGCTCACTTATTGCACTAAAAAAACAACACACATTTTCTAACTCTAGTCGTTCACGTTCCGTATAGTGTGGATTATTACACATTTTCCTGAACAAAATGTTACTAAAAGAACGATTCCAGCTGTGTTTATGTTAATCGACGCAAGAGAGAAAATGGGCAATTCTCGGTTGTTCATGAATTTCAAAATTTAAATGAAAATCGACCTTAACCTTGCGATGAATATAAGCTTATGCGTTTTATGTTCTCGGCATTCGTTCAGCTCGCTCATCACACTGGACCAAGGAAAAAATACTTTTGAAAAATACCGAGAAATTCTATCTCTCTCTCTCTCTCTCTCTCTCTCTCTCTCTACCCGCTTGTTATTTCGATTCAACTTGATTCTGCTTGTTTTTCTCACCGATTCTGCTCGTGTAAACAATAATAAACTTCGATTGAATCCAAACAAACCGACGATGTACATCATTGGAATTTGAGGCTTTTTTTTTTCTCCTGTCTATTTTCAAATCAAATTCAACATAATAATCTCAATTTCATGGGAACTCAATCAAGATCATCGTTTTTTTTGCGTTCTATTCATTTTTTTCTCTTTTCATCTCTGTGTTTTGTCTTAAAATCGATCGGATGTGGGTGCGACGGGCGAGAGAAAAAGATTTAGAGGAAAACAAGAGCAAAGGAATCGATGGTTCCGTTTGCATGAGCAACGACAAAAGCAGAATTTATAATCTCGTTGCCGTAAATATCGTATGAATACTCACTCCATGCATTGTTATGGTTATCATTGCCAAGAATTTTCCAACGACTTGCCACCGTCGACAAATAACGTTGCATTTTAATAAGCAGCCGTAATTTTTCCATTTCTTGGCTGAATAGCGCCATTGAAATGCACTTCCTTTCATCACAAACGTCGAATAATAGCTCTACACTGCGGTGCGCGTACTTTAATTAAATGAAATTTAAAAAACTGAGCAATTACTATTTTGCCTTCGATGTGTGTGTGTGTGTGTGATGAAGAAAACTTACGGAATCGACCGCTCTATTTTTATAGTTTGCCTCATTTCTAATATATACTCGCCGCTACAAACAATCATCGCATACTATATATCGAAATGACTGATTCCTCGTTGTCACATATACTTCATACACACAGAGGGAGATAATCATCGGAAGAGAATCGAGAAAGATATTGTGTTTTCATTTAAAATTCCGCCGACGTTCCGAAAATCGATAAAAAGCTGTTATCTTATCTAAACAAATGGAATGAAAAGCGAAAGACAAAGCGCTGCGTTATTTTAATAATACACACATACACACAATGGGTCTCGTATAAAACGTGAATCAAAATGCATTACATAACTTGGATATTATATTGTTTGGATGAGACTGCGATTCAATACGGGCATGAGTCATGCAGTGAGAAATGCAGCGCAAGCAGATAAGGAATGATTTTATGGCAAGTGGCCATATATTCGCTGCAGTTTTGTGTGCTATAGCGCTGCAATTCAATTTTTGTGATTGGAATCAGAATAAATGTGTCGATAAATATTTATTTTTACTATCACAACTGATTGGCAGTGTGTAATCCGGCTGCCAGGTCAAATGGTGAACATAAACCGCAGGATCTTTATGTTTGCCAAGTTGAAAACCGTTGAAAATCGGAACACGCAAAGATTTCAATCGGTGAATTTTGTGGTCTTTCATCAAGTGTATATTGAAGTGTGATGAGAATAATTTGAGGGAAAAAAACCATTGGAATAACTTAACCCGTTTACCAATGGTTGGATGTGTAAAGGAGTTGCAAACATGGTTTATTTTAAGCCTCATTATTGCGTCCATTTATTGCATTCTCTTTGTAGCTATGCATCATTCCAAGATTTATCGAAAATTCAGAACTCTTCGGCGGCGAACATGAATATTGTAGGCATTTTGTTCCGATTTATGAGTATCCATCAAATACTAGCTCCATGCATAATTAAGTATTTATTCAATAAAATCAATTGACCCAGGAGGGCATTCGTCGAAGGTTTTTACTTCACATTCATGAAATGAATAATTCCGATAAAAAAAAATCGCACTCTCTCATCAAAGACGCAGCGCGCTCATTATTCCACACCGAAAAAGAACATTTTCGCCGTTGCATCGATTTCATTCATCATGAGAGTGCACCACATGATTACATAGTGTCTGTTTGGCTATGCATATCTGTTGCTCAGCTCATACACAAATTCATCGTAAATGAACGGCTTTTTGTACATGTTCAGTGCCAATTAGGAGCTCATACGCATTCAATTATTCTGCTAATGCTAGCCTTTTACTTGCATCAACTCTCCGATCCGATCAGAATTGATTAAAGCAATTTTCGCATTAGCATCTGTTTTTGCAGCCATTTCATGCATACATATTTGATGCATTTTTAATACACATCACAGACAATCTCCTTTCATTTGTCCGTTGAGCGAATGAGCCGCATGGAGAGAGAGAGTGAGTGAAATGAGTAAAAGAAATTGCATAAAAATAAACTAATGACATGTACTTACCATCAAAGCGTAAGCTAACAAGTCGCAAAAATATGTCTTGACAAATTATAATACGAAGAAATATTCAATTTTAAGCCGAAGAGAAATATGCTCATTAGCCAAACAAAGTAAGCGATTGGAATGGATTTAAGACGAGTTATTCTTTCCCTTTTGCCCATAATAACATTTACACGGATATTAAATTCATGTTTGTACAGCATTTTATTTCTATCGATAACAGTACACGAGTGAAACGGTGCTGGCGATAACAAGATTTTGCCCCGTGCGACTATCTGCACAGCTTGACTGGCCACACAGAATAAAACTATGCGCCGTTGCTATGCTAATCGCCTGAAGCGAAACGCATCACCAGCATCAGCAGCAGCGGAATGAAGTGAGAGATAGAGAGGGAGAAACACTCAGCAAACAAGATCCAGTTCATTTGCGTTTGCAATTGTAAATGATGAGCGCGATTGTTTACATTTTCGCAGTTAGAGTTAAACCTGCGAAAGACCGGACGCTCGATGATTACACGTGCTATATCTCACAATCAGGCCCGTTTCAAAGCCCAAGGGATATTTTGTCGACAATTATTGATAGCACACTGTTTGTGCAGAACAACGCATATGGCTAATCAGAACAGAAAAAAATTGCCAATAATAATTTTTCCTGTGAACACTTGTGAGAAATCGCTTCGTTTTAAAATGATTGTTCATAGATGAGTAAGTTGTGCGCGCGAGTGAGTAATGAAAATTCCATACCAATTCGAAATGGAACCAATTGCTTCGATGTTTATGATATTGTTTGTAATAACAACAACAACGACGACGAAGAAAAACGAACTTTGTTGTTTATGGTCGAATACGTCGAAAAGTATAATAAATTTGTTCAATCGTTCCGCGGCAACTCGAAGTTTTTATTGGTTCGAGATTAACAACAACAAA